AGTTCAAAAATGGAAGAAATCGGATAATAACCACGCCCACCTCCCATACAAAGGTTATGTTGAAAATCACTAAAAGTGCGTTAACCGACTAACAAACAACTTCAGAAACACTAAATTTTACGGAAGAATATCAGAAAAAAGCTGCACCCAGGCTTTCTTTAAAAATTGAAAATGGGCGTGGCGTCGCCCACTTATGGACCAAAAACCATATCTCAGGAACTACTCGACCGATTTCAATGAATTTCGGTACATAATAGTTTTTTAATACCCTGATGACATGTACGAAATACGGGTGAAATCGGTTCACAACCACGCCTTCTTCCAATATAACGCTATTTCGAATTCCATCTGATGCCTTCTCTGATGATAGCGGAATAAAACTTTACACAAATACGGTATTTGATGCGAGAGTATAAAATGTTCGGTGACACCCGAACTTAGCCCTCCCTTACTTGTTTTTTTTTTTTTTTTTTTTTGTGATATTTGTGGGTTGATATATAATGAATTTGTTTCGGCGAAACAGACGGTCAATGACGAGTTCTATTTGGATGTGTTGAGTCGTTTCCGTGAGAACATCCGTCGTAAACATCTAGAATTTTGAAAGAACATTTCATGGATTTTACACGATGATAATGTACCATCGCATCAAGTCGAAAAAAGTAAACATTTGTACATAATCCAAGTTTTCCTTTTATTACAATGCTTTATTGCATTTCTTTTGGACCTTCGAAAAAAGTTAAAAAATTTATATTTCAAAAATACTGGTGAAATCTTAGATGCAACAGCTGTCGTATAGTGTACTATATACTTTTTTAGTAAATAATTTAGAAATTCGAAAGCAAATATTACGATGTTGAAGGCTTAGGTCGAAAAAAGAGAAATAAATTTTTTTTACAGGACCCTGCCTCTCGAAATATTTGTTCGGTTCAATACGTGGAATAAACTATTCCAATAAGCGACGAGATCCATAGCTTTAATTTTCTCCAGTCAAATGACATTAAGCGTATTGTGTGGGAAGAATAATTCGAAATTTGCGTAGACTATCACGGAATCAGTATAATTAATACTACATTTAATATTCTATAGAACAATTAAATACGTATAATTTTTACTTAAACCTTTTTTGGCGTTTTTGCGAAATTATCAGTCGTAAAGGAGTCTGAGAAGTTGAGGGACCTACAACAGTTTCGGCTACCTTGAAAGGTTTATGAATTTTCTTACAATCTCGTGGGACGATCGCATCCAGAATGAAGGAGATCTCGATTATGACTGTATGGACTTGGACAAAGAAAAAAAATCTCAAATTTGGATTTTTGGCAGACATTTTTACAAAAAAACGAAAATTTCGCGAAATTTTTTTAAAGTTGTTGTAATCGAAAAAAGATCCTTCATCCAAATCTTTAAGAATTGTATTTCTGAGACCTGTGTAAAATTTCATGCAGATCGGTTGAGTAGCTCTCGAGAAATCTTGCCAACCGACTTCAAAAACACAGTTTCGAGAAAAACGCGTTTAAATACGGCGTACATAGCGTAGTTAGCCTCGAGCGTTGACGTTCTCAAGCTGTACTACGAAATTATTACGCGGATCAACTTGAAAATTAAGCAAAATATTCTAGAGGTAATTAATAAGGCAATAAAATAAATCGATTTTTTGAATCTCGTAAACCCATGTAACCCCTTAAGATTTGAAAGTGTTCCATTCACCATTCGCTGACAGTCTCAAGGAAAGTAGGAAATAAAATTTACCTGTTTCAATTGCCGCTATTCTATAACAATGAAGAAAGAGAATATATGATTAAAATTCTGTTAATTACACTGTGCGAAAAAAAAAAAACACTCTACAAAATATTTAAGTTTTTCAAAATTCTTAAAATCCAGCTTTTAAAAATTTTATTGCGCGAAAAATTCGAGTCTAAAGCCAAAGTCGCCGGATCAACCAAACTGTTTTATCTCTTCGCATATTTTTTTATATTTTTTGTACAAATATTTTAGTATTAAATTAAGTTGTAATACAATTTTTTCAGCAATGATGTAATTAACCACAATTTAACTAATATTTTTCAGGGTATACATGAAGACATTTATGGTTTGCAGCCACACATGAAACTTTTCAAGGATTTAAATATACTTGCCAGAGACGAGGCCTTCCGAAAAGCGGCGGCTGTGTATCCCGTGACATCGATGGACGATTTCTATCGACTGCATGCCTATTATTCGCGGGTAAGCTTCTTTACGTGCTTAAAACAGCGCCACTGCCAACAACAAATATATGTACATACATATGTGTGTATACAAAACGGATATAATTTATTTACTTTTTTCAGCATCACTTAGAACTGGTGCAGCAGCGCAGCTTCGATTTGGAGCGCAAATCATATCAAATAGCTAACGGTTCAATATCGAATAACATACTCGAAATACGCTGGCCACTCGGTGTGCCGCTTGGCTCAGCGCCCGAAACGCGACATGACATCATAACATGGCACCTCATCAACAGCACACACATTTTCCTACCCAATGCCGAAAATATCGTCGAGCCAATGAGTCACACCGACAAGTTGGATTTCGATAAAGTGCTTGAAATTGCAATTGCCTACGGCAAGCGGAAGAATCCACACTTGCAATATGTTGATTTGCATACGGTTTACAGGAAATTCGATGCAACGCGTGGCATGGACTATCAGTTCCATTTAAATATGCGCGACACCACACGCTACTCCGACGAATTGGTGACGCAGAGTTTTCAAGTTGTTAAACCGCTCGGACGCGTCGAGGTGATACCATCACCATATGTCACCGAAAGCACGCGCATCGCCATAATGGTGCCGACATTTGAACATCAGGCGGCGGATGGTGTGAATTTCATAACGGAATATGAACGCATTTGCATGCAGAATCAAGACAACACATTTCTGCTGATGGTAAGTGTAAAGAGAACGCGTTGATTTTGATTGTTGTTGTTGTTGTAACGAGTACCTAATCCCCTTTAGTATGGCAAGGACTTGAATTCGAAAATTATTTACCGTTTTTTACTTTGCAGATCTTTCTTTATCGCTACAACTCCATAAGCAAAGGTGAGCAGGATCCCTTCAAAAGTCTCAAGACACTCGCCTTGGATCTATCAACAAAGTACAAAAGCGATGGCTCACGCATAGCTTGGGTGTCCATACGGCTGCCGCCAATGCTTAGTGATAAGCCACCGCCACCGGAGGATATTATGCTCAACTCCATATATGGACGCAATGATATTTTAAGCGTGGCAGTGGCTGATCTGGCGCTACCGAAAATCGGCCTGGATAGTCTGGTACTAATGGCCTCCACAGATATTAGCTTCAAAGCGGACTTCTTGAATAGAGTAGGTTTACAGTTACACAACTGTAGTTAGTATGCATTACATTAAGATTTCCATACAATCCGCAGGTGCGCATGAACACCATACAGGGTTTCCAAATATACTCACCCATCGGCTTCATGATGTATCCCTGCCGACTGGCGCACTTCTGTAAACAATGCGAGAGCTGTGATGTGAGTCAAAGCTCTGGCTACTTCGACAAGTGGAATTACGATCTAATCGCCTTCTACAGTCGTGATTACGTGCAAGGTATTTTTCATATATAAATATAACAACTCAAAGTCTCTTTTCAACTGCTCTAATGCTTCTAACCATTTCAGCGCGCAAATTGATTGAGTCAACATTACCCATCACACGCACCGACAATGACATTGAACTGCTGCTCAGTCGCAGCGATCACAAAATCAACACCATTTTGGATATGTTTGTTGCCTCGCAGCTGTCGGTGCATATACTGCGCGGCACTGAGCCCAATTTGCGTTATGGCTACGCGATTAGGAATCATATAAGTAAAGGTGCGGAGGTGCCAAGATGTCCGGCGCTACAAGCGAATGCCGCCGTATCGCGTAATAAGGAACAACAAGAGTTATACAACGAAATACCACAACGTTACGATGCGTTGCGCGCTGAGCGTGACACGGCGCATGCGTACGGCCTGGACAGTCGCAAATGCATACATTTGGCGTCGCGCAAACAGATCGGCGACGCGATCATACGTTTCGAGGATCGTAGTATTCTGCATAAATAGTTAAACATACAGTTGCACAAAGCAATAACGGTTGAATTTTAGCGAGTTAAAGAAAATGTGCACGCACTCATTGTGAATGAGCGTAGTGTCTGATTTTCTTTTAACTTTATTTTTAATGCCAGTTTGGCTACTGCGCAGTCAAACTGCGCACGTCAAATGCATGTTAACACTTTAATGCTCAAACATTTGCATGATTATGTAAATATTAGTTTAATACTTGCAATGCTTTCGTTTAAACATATTTTATGTTTTTTTTTTTCGACAAGGAAAAAAGTTAGTACTTTTATAACTTAGTCTACTATGCCAAAATGCTTGCACAATTTTTTTTAACTATAAAACATGTGAGTTGTGTGTGTATTTTAGTTTTAATTAATTTATTATAATTATTATTGTATTTTTCGTATTTAAACGGCTGAGCTACAGTTGATTCCTATCGATTGAATGTAACGAAATGACTTTTTTGTATGTAATTATGTAATTTATCAGTACACTAGTGCTAGCATACGAAAATGTAGTGTAAATATGTAGTACGTAATTTTGTAAGTGGCACAGGAACTGTTTGTATGTATAATGGCTGTTAAGTGTGTTTTATCTACGTCAACGAAGTAGAAATATGCCCGAACTTGTCCTTTCCAATTGCAAATATTTATATATTAACATAACTATGCATACATATATACGTGATAATTTGTAAGCAAGTATTTTCGAGTAGTTTGGTGTTCAGTTACTAATATGCGACTTTCAAATTGCACCCTGTTTGTTAGCCTCTCGCATGCATCCTATCATTTTAGTGCCTTAAGTATTGTATATTCATCTCGCCATGACTGCCAAGTATTCAGTTTGCATGAAGCATGTAATTTTAAAATATATAATGTATGCATATCCATACATACACACATACGTATGTTAATATCTTTTTGTATAACTGATTGTAATTAAATATTGTACGTAAATGAATTTCATTCCTTATGTAAAAAGAGAGTGTTAAATACATACAAACATATGTATGTATTTGCAGTTTCCGCTGTAATTAAGTGAATTTCCGTTTCTTTCTACCTCTTTCACATTTTCCATAGGAAACTACAAAAACAAAATATAAAAAAAACTTAACAAAAATAAAGAAATTTGTAAATAGTTATATGTATAGTTTTAAAATAAAATATTTTATATGTTATATGATTAAAGGTGCCAAAGCTTTTAAATTTCGATTAATTTGATATGCGCTAATTTGTTTTAAGCAAATGAACAACGAAATATAAAGTATTATATTTAGTAATAGGCGAATTATATTAACAGGGCAGCAAAAGTAAATAAAACTCAAAGATTTCGGGCATAAAATAGTTATAAAAATTATTTTTTTTTTTTTTTTGTAAACCCATTTAATATATAAAAGAAAATATAAATAATTTCACAAAATTTTGTGTGCGAATTTTTTCAATATTTCGACAGTTAAAAATGTTGTGGCTAAAATTTTTTAGTATAATCTATGCAGTTTGTAAAAAGAACATATTTATTAAAATTTATACTCATTTTTATGCAAGAAATTATGTGTTAAACGTCTGAAGTCACAAAATAAATCATATGTAAATGTATATTGATTTGTATAAGTTTAATAAAAAGTTTAATCTTATATTAGTACCTAAAGTAACATAAATTTAAATTTCACGGCTGTCGAATATCTGCATGTGTATTGCGGCGCTTATTCATAACACCAAGTGGCTCTAACCGCGTATGCGGTGTCTACGCCAATAACGGAGAATCTGCATATACATAAAGGTATTTTATGTTTCGTAACTAAACATGAACACAGGACAATAGAATTAGCGGCGTAAAACAAATAAATAAATAATAATCTGTTTAAATTATTTTACATGTGTATACCTTTAAAATAAACTTTGTTATACATACATACATTTGTATGTGCATAAAACGCAACTATAATTTCGATACAAGCTAATAAAATAATATTAAAAACAAACAACGAACATGTTGAGTAAACGCCTTTTATTTGTCAAATATGGTACGCAGCCCAGCTACTAAGCACAAATGCAAAAACAATTCATATGTACAATGTCAGTGCGAAACACAACAAATGCATTAGATGTAAACACTTCAGTTTGACGTTTAAATTAAACTTAAAAAATAGTGTTGCATATGTTAATACAATTTAAGATTGACTTAAAAGAAAACTTAGGTCGGTGTTTGGTGCAAATTCAACTTGCTCCTTATTGCTGCAAGAGAGAAGTGTAAAAACGTTCATTTATTAAACTTTGTATAGCTGCAAAATATACTTTACTTACGCCATAAACAATTTCGCATTGCGATCGCCTACTAAAATGGCCTTATCGCCTTCCACTAACAAAGCGGTGCCCTCGCGTAAGCCCAATACCGGCTTCTTATGGTACTCAATAAATTCGTTAATACGTTCGTCACGCGTCTCACCTTTATGACGTGTCGCTGCGTCGGGTTCGAGATAATGTGGATTGATGTTGAACGGCACCAGACGTAAAGCGGCAAATGTGGGTGGAAACGCCACAGGCATATCATTTGTTGTATGTATGGAAAGTGTGGCCACATTAGTGCCGGCACTGGAGCCAATATATGGTATACCCTTTTGGAGTACACGTTCACGTATTATAGGTATTAGATTTTCATCGTAAAGCGCTTTAAGCAATACAAAAGTATTGCCACCACCGATGAACAGCGCCTCCGCCTGCAACACTGCTTGTATGGGATTCTGTTTAACGTGTAGGCCTTCAACTTTGAAACCCCATGGCGAAAGTGTATTTTCGACAAGTTCTGTATATTTATTGTAATCGTTCTGTGCGTAGGGCACAAAGAGCACCGTTTTCACATTGCGTCTACACACGGAGTAAGCAAAAATATATTGGCTAAAATATATAATGTGTTATGGGCAACTTGTACTTACTTAGTTAAAAATTCCTTTAAATGTTCCTTCGCGTGCTCTAAAAATTCATAACCATATACGCGTGAAGAGGAGAGCAAGAAAAGTGAACGCGGTGACATTTTTACCAACAAATTTTCCAAATTTTGGAAATACTGTTTGAGGCTTCGTGCAAAGCAAGTGCTTTGTGCTGTTTGTACTGCTGTTCGCGAAACAAGTTATTTATGTGCAGACAAGTTTACTATACACCTAATTTACGGGAGATAATAAAAAATACGTCTAAAGATAAGGCTTATTATCGATTTTGTTTATATGATCAAGAACAACAATTAACAACAAGTGCATTTGTTAAGCGTTGACGAGGGAAATCAGCTGTATGCGTATTTGTACTGATAAGAGGAAAACCCGATTGCTTGTGCACCCGGTAGCCGATGCATTAACCAGTGTTGTTTCTTAATCGGCTTTTTTTTTTTTTTTTGAAAAAGTTATCTTTTCACAAAATAAGTATTTTGTTAAGTTTTGTTATTAACAACTAAAGCAATTTATTCATTTTAATTACTGAGTTTAAGTACAACCATACAATTTTTAACTCTGAAATCGTATGTTATACTAAAGTCGGGACTTAAGTATTAATATTTCGATATTTTTTAATCATAGTATTTTATTTTGTGAAACTGAACGCTGCCGAAGGTCATTTTTAAAACTTTTCTTTTAGGCCAGGGCCATTATCGTCCCAAAAGCATTGCCTTGAAGAAATGTACTGAATAACATACATCTCTATACAAAAGCTATCAGCAAATAATGTATAAATTTACTATTCGTTTTAATTTCCTTTTTATTATTGACTAATTTCTGCTTTTAACAGACATTTTTTTATAGTTGTAGTAAGAGCACATCTTTACCATCAGCTTTTAATATTTTTCTCATTTTGATGTAAACTTATTTTGATAAGAGTGCATAATTGACATACATACAAATAGATGTAATAACGATTAAAGCACAAATTTAAACATAAAATTTGCGTAATATTTTTTAAAAGATATATTCACAGTACATATCACAAAATTTTAATATAGGTAAACATAGCTAGCGTGCTCAAGCAATAATATGCCTGTATATTCCTTTTACACATTAACATTCAAATATATTAGTTGCTCCTTTACGAAAAATATTAATTTGTTTGCATTTTGATTTTGTCTTTTAAATACTTTAATGCATATCCTTGCCCTTAATATCATTATCAAATATATGCACACCCAATTCTTTTTCACACCTTTCAATTTGAGTTATATAATCGGCTAACTGTTTTTGCGCATCCACTTGTTCAATAAGGAAATTTGTTTCTAAAAAGTCACTTAAATGTGGGTCGCTGTGCTCATTCGCCAATGCATGTAACGCCAACAAGGACTTGACGAAGAAAAATCAAATATTCGATTACAAATACTATACGTAGATGTTCAATTAGTATTGGAGCTCACCTCGTTAACCGTCTTTTCCATATCCAAAGCTTCAATTAGCGCCGCTTTGACGGTTGTAAACTTAAACTGCGGCGCTGGTAACTCCTCCAAGCATATGGTGCCGCCTCGTTTGTTCATGTATGTCATCAATTGAGCTGCGTGTTCACGCTCTTCCGAACTAGCAGATTTGAAAACTCCATAAAGTCCAGGTAAGGCGACATCGCTGCGGTCGAAATGGTAAGCCTGTAAAAAATTTATATTTTCATTATATATGTGTGTATGTAGAAACAATATTTTTTTGTAAATTAAACACTATGCTTACCATAGCCATATAATCGTAGCTTGACTTTAATTCCAAATGTATTTGTTTGTTAATAGCATTTTCGCATTCACCGGCAAAATTTTGTCGCACCATCAAACACATGAGACGCCGGAATTGTAAACGTCCGGCAAAATTCATAATTCCAATTGGAGCTCAAATGACAATTTGATTTTCTTACTTTCAAGACAAATGAAATGAAAATTAAAGTTGATTTTTATCGTTTCCGTATTTTGTAAATTTGTTGGTACAAATTTCCTGCATATGTATGCAGTTGCATAAAGTGACAGCTAATTGACAGGACACGCTGCAGCAGATGCAATGCGCCGGTGCAATTTTTCTTGTTTACGCATATTTTACAAATAAAAAATTTGATTTGCGCGAATGTTTAACCTTTCTTACTCCCTTTAAAAATTAATAGAACAACTACAGAGTTTGAGGCGATTAGCACACATTTTATTTCAGTTTTTTTTGAATTTATGCGCTTAGTATTATTTTACCACATTACATCTTTCTTTCGTAAATATGTGGGTATTTTTTTATGCTTTTGATTATTTGCTTCGATATTATTTTTATTTTCAGCTATACTTGTAGTATTTTATGCGTTTTTATTAGGGCATGATTAACATTTTTTTATTAAAATCTAAATAGGCACACTTAATTCTCCAAGATTGAATTTAAAATATTCATAGATCTTTATATTTTTATTAATAATATGTTATTGGTGTTCGAATGACAAATCTCTCATCATTACGCATTTTGTTTTTATAAAACATGTATGTTTTTTCTCTTTATAAGACAACAGTTTTCAAAATACTATGTAACAATTATATCTTCACGTCTTACATAATGTAACAACTGATACACTTGTTTCTAAGGCATTATTAGTAAGTATCTTTTTTTTTCATTTCGTAATGTAAGCCTTTTATATTATTTAACTCACTGCGCTAAATTCCTTAAAGCGTTTATAGGAAAGTTAACTGTTTATTATAAATCGTTTACTTAACCACTATTTGCATTTTTTCTTCAATAATTAATATTTTACAGTTCTGTAAGGAAATCGCCAATGTACGAACCCATTACTCCGGTAAATCCAATATTCTGGACACAAATTCCGAAATATCCGTGTCGCGTTCTATGTGTTCCTCAATGAATTCGTGTTTCAGCAGCTGTTCGTAATTGGGACGTGCTTTGTAATTTTTCTGCAAGCACTTCACTATAAAGTCTTCAAATTGGGGTGAAAATTTACCAGTTTCGAGACGCGGTGGACTCTCATTCACCACCTGCAATTGTTTCAATTTGAAAATTATGTAAAATTTATTTTAAAAAAACAAAAAAATACCTGTTTCAATTGTTCAAATGGTGTAGTCCAGTGATTGTATGGAAATCTGCCGGTTGCCATTTCAATCATACTGATACCCAGCGACC